TGAAAGAGAGCGGTACTTTTATTTGTGGTGGTGTGAGATCAAAGGAGATTTTAAGTGACAAAGTGAAGGATAAGTTACTAGTTAAGTTTTCCCCCTAATGGCCTATGGGATGATATTTTAGGGACTCGTAAAATGATATAGAATTGTGCGTATACGATTATATTACGTATCAAACAAACAAGTTGAATCGTGTTACGACAAAAGTATTCAAATTACTTTATTATCAACTGTACGTCCCTAATACATGATAATAATAAGCAATCAGGAACTGCGTAAATGAAGAGTATTTTCTAGAATTTGTGGGAAGTGCGGGACATTCTTTACTGCTGTGTGTATATTATGTTTTTTTTTTTTTTTTTTTTGTAGTTCGTACAGTATTTTATTTTGATTAGAGGGCCGATTGATGAAACATTTTTAACGTATGGAACCTATGAATGGATTCGCGGTACTTTCGTATTTCGTATTATACAGACCACGCCGATAAGTCGACTTCCAAATAAGATTTTGATTAAACAAAATCTTCCTAACCTAACCTACTCTAACTTGCACTAACCATTCTTAGCTTAGGTAAGGTTAGGTGTGGTCGCGGTATACGTAAGTACCGGATTGCATTTCGTCCAATCTTCATCGTCAATATATCATTACTTACGGTATATCGATAGACACCACAGACCACAGTGATGGGCTCGGCTGAGTGTGAACGTGTGTCTGTTATTGCTGAGTTGCCGTTATATTCAACAACGGAGCTGTCAGGAGCGTAGACACAACAGACGCAACGTACTCTCGGCACTGCCTTCCCCTCGGCGCTCGCTATACGGGCTTTGTTTGGGTAGGACTGTTGACACAGTTTCGTCGACATAGTTTGCTCCTTGACACTGGTACATGTTTATTGAAACCGCATTACTAAATAGAGCTAGTGAAAAATATTCACTCAATGAAAAAATAAATTATACATTGATTTAATACAAAGTTTTTATTAGTTTGTGGGTTATTATGTCACATTGTTTGGAGGCCAAGGTCTTTCTTCTTCTCTTTCTTTTCTCTGGACTGTTGTGTAAACTGATTCAGATGCTGAATTCTGCATATTAGATTTTGCATACACTTTTATGTTTATACGTAAACACGAAAAATCCTTAGAGCCTTAGTGTCATTAAATCAAATTGATTTAAACCAAGGTAAGAATTAGACCTAATGCTTTTTTTCAAATATTGTTCAAAAATTTTCTAAAGTACGTTGAATTCATTACATGTTTTATCTGGTTTACTTTTATTTAGTTGGATTCAGGTATAGGTTTAGTTTCAAATTTAGTCCACGCATCGTAAAATAATTATTAAATATGAATGCACAAAAATGCAATATAATACAAATTAAATGTTTTTTTTTTAGATTTATTAAGGCTACTGTACCAGTGTACCATATTAAGTATACAAATGTGTTAAATCAACATTTTTATGTTAAAAGGTATAAAATATAGTAGAGTTTTTGTTGTGTTATTTTGAAAAAAGTTTTAAAACTAATTCCCAAAAGGTGTAAATTATTTCAAAAGGCAAACGCTATATTGGTAATGTTAAATCTCATTATGTCAACACAAGGTAAAAACTAACTGTATATTCGGGTCTAGGACCTTCAAGTCATTCACACAGGAGTTCTGACAATATAATATGCATCACGTTTGACCGGAAACGACTCTGAGATGGAATGAATACAAACATCACTCGTTAGAATGCAAAGACATCAGCTGTCTTCGTCGGATCACAGTTTTGTACAAGAATGCATCATGTCCATTGTCTGTCGAGGACATCTTATCTTGTATCTTAAAAACTTGCCAGATAGCCTGACCATACTGGTTGTACCAAAAGAAAGGTTATAAGTCCTCTATGTGCAGGGTTTATTTGTATTTTGAGAATATTTATGATAATTGGGTCAAAAATGGAAATTAAACTTTTCCCATGGAAATTTAACATGGGGATAATCTATATATTAATAGACAAGCATTTTTATTGAACCCCTTTTTTTCTCAGCTCGTGTGCATCGCAGGGAAAATCTACGCATACTGTTGGAAATAAATTTTTCTGTAGATGTGCAGCCTTAGTAAATTAAAATAGGCTCAAAAATAAGTACAAACAAAGAATAAAAAATAATAATTAACGTGGGCCTTATGGGTTGCAATGCTGGTGACGAAATAACAACGTAATATAAACAGAAAATCAAAACATATGGAAGAAATTCCAATCACATGTTTTATTTACAGCGTGTGGTGAAAATAGAGAAGTCGAGTCTTCGACTTGACTTTTTTGGTCGAGTTTTCGACCTTTAGTTAACTACGCTACATTATTAATTACGCAATGCATTCTGCCCAATGAGCTAAAAAATAAAACTAAACTCATATTGTAGTTTTTCTTTCAAACATGGGAGATAATGTTAAAAAAAAGGGTGTACTCAAGTTTTTAAACAGTATTATAAATTTATTGATTATGCTTAAAATACTTAAACGTTCAAAAATGTCTTTATACCAGTAACGTATCGATTGTTTATGTATCTATAGTAGTTTGACATTTCTGAAAACATTCCGACAAAATAATTATCACATGAATAATATTTGTAAATAAAGACTAAACGAACGTTTAAGAATGTTGCTATTTAGTTATGAGTGCATGTCGTACTTTTCAAATATTTCAAACGATTAGGATAAGACAAGGTACAACATTGCCTAACGTAATATGAATGTTATGACACTCGATGACTTATTCGAGACACTTTAATTAGGCCTATTTCTTGCTGACTTAAATGTGGATTTGTAATAATAGAAAATAATATTTAGCACGCAAACCATACTGTAATTACAGTAATCGTGGGGTAAATAATAAATTTCTATTTTAAAAATAAAACATAATCGATCACTTTTCTCAAAATTTAACTTTTAAATTGTGTTTATCGCCAGGATATAATGTTTTTTTTCAATCCAGCTCAATAAATTTTTATGTTGTTTTACCAACTTTACTAAACGAATAAGCATAACAAACACAGGCAATTGAGTAGGAAACGAAAAATGAAATTCATTTTTCAATTTTGTCTAGCCAGTTTTTGCTCACTTTTGATAAGTAACTAATAAATAATGTAATTTTGAAATCACCCACCTAAATAAGTTAAATAAGTCCTTTATTGGGTAAGAAACTGAGTAGTAATGAGTTTTGAAATAACAAAGCTGACAAAAACCTTACCCTACCTTTGTAACATCTTAAGCGAGTAAGTCTCTAAAATTAAGTGGCTACTAAATTAACTAGCAATTTGTACTAGGCAGGCGCATAATGTGAAACTATCTCATAATAAACATTATGCCACTATCGCCACAGAAGCGCCAAGCGGAAGCCTCTATTTCACGAAGGTCTTAGGTTCGTTTGCACCTCGTTTGCTCGTTATTCCTAACTACTTCCTCTATCTCGGGTTTTGTGGGTTGATAACACGAATGGTTGCCCTCAACTTGATAAGTTTCGAGGCACCGCTAGTTAAAGTAGGTCGGGGAAAACATAGGGGTGTCCTTTGTCGAAACGAACATTTCAATTTTGCTGACACTCGAATTTTGTTTTTTGAAAAGTAAAAAAATTATTTACGATTTTACGCTGACTTCAGTTTGAATTAATTTTACTTTTTGCGTGTTTGGTCATGTTAGTTGTGGTTTAATTAATTTAAAATGAGGAAAACAAGAGTATACAATATACTTCGAATTACACAGAAAAGTACGCATAGGCCCTACTCCTCAAACTGTTTGTTGGTGATCGGATTTTGTATGAGCTAATGAAAATGAGCGTTTTTGTCGCTTTCTCACTACATTGATTTATTATTCAAGTATAATAATTAACATTTAGGAAATATCAAAGCACAGCCTTACATGCTGCATACAACAGGTTGACAAGTAATTCAATTTATTTGTATGAATTGAAAGCTATTTTTTCGTACCCACAGAATTTGGTGCTTTGTAAGAATATAGAATTTTTATTTAGGCTAATTTTGAAAAGGAGACGTCGTGTAAATTATTGACTGATGTGTGCTACATATTGTTTACACAAACACATCTTTCTGAATTATATATATATATATATATAATACTAGATAGCATATTAATCTATTATTAAGCAAGAATAGTTTACATAAATTATCTACTATGTTCCACGTTAGCCAGACCCTCTGCCCTAAGCAAATAAAGGGAAACATGTAAAAATACACAATCCTTTTTGAAATTTTTTTTCTGACTCTATTCCAACTCCTTTACCCTACTAATTGGTCTCTTAGTTTTACGTAAGAAAATTCGTTATTTTTTATAAAGACCACCGCATATTCTTGGTAGATAGTTCATTCGACGTTTTTAATCTGACAATATAGTTATTTAAAAACTATCTGTCTCAAACATTTTATGTTTACAACTTTCACTCAGCCTTACATGGAAATATTTTTAATAATATTGTTTATTGTCAACACCGCTTATTTGTTAATCTATTTCAATTTTAATATCTAGGTAAAACAAAAACGTTGGTTGAAAACATGTTTTACAGTTGAACCTCAATAGTAAGAGTAACCAATGTATTTGAATCCCTTCGAAACTCGGATCTACTCCCAACAATATCTTATTATGAAAATCCCCAATATTAAGGATACCTTAAACAAATAATTTTGTTATCTCAATGATACGGTACTGTATAAGTAGAACTTCATTAACAACTGTCCATATTCTGAAAGCCAAATTCTATTTCAACAATTCAATTTACAAGTCCAATCACTACCACAAGCACAATATAGTTTTAATCACATAAGTACCTAAGTTACATTAATTGGCTATGTTTCTCACTGTTAAATTAGGCAGACTTCGTTGCGAGAGGAAGGGTACAATCCCCGACGAATCCGTACAAATTGAAAGGGTTACAACGGTTTCCATTTTAAAAGGGTTTGATTCCTACATGCACAATACATAGAGTACTAAAAAGTAAAAGCAGTTGTAAACTCACCTGGTAGTACCTCGGTGGTCTATGATGAGCGTCCATGTCCTCCGCTCCTCACGACTCCAGAAGTGGCATTGAACTTGGAGCGTCTCTCGAGCTTCCTTCCTTCCACACTCATTATCCCCTCCTCCCCCTCCCTTTACCTCTATCCTCTTCCTCCACTCCACTCTCCCTACCACTTATCACGTTTGTTTTGTTCCCGTCCATCAACGCACATCTTGAATGCCGAATGCTTCTTTGTTGTCAGCTTGAATGGCTGCAGAAGTTGCGTGCGCTACGTCTCATTGATGGAAATTGATTTTTGTTATACCCAGCTGATCAGTCGATCAGCTGATCATTATTTACAGTATTATTATTGTTTATGTTTTTAATTTACAGTTTTGTTTATAAATTTTCAATAAAATGAGTTCATTTTATTCTATTCGTTTATTAAAACAAAAAATGGCGAGTGATGAAAGAAGTTACATCAGAAAACTGAAACATCATGGGAACACTAAAAGGACAAATTACAAGAACTATACACCTGTTAAAATTTCAGTCTATGATGCTCCTGACAGATTGTAGCAGAGGAAGCTTGGCATAAATTCATGTTACTACATGAAGATTGAAGATTGTAAATGAAAATGTTTTTGAACAAGAACAGGCCTACAGAGCTGATGTAGAAGAGGTATTAGGGGTAAGAGCATTATCACAGCCATTCTTTACAAAAAACAAAACTGTAAATTCAAAACATAAACAATAATAAGAAAATAATAATCAGCTGATCAGCTGGTACAGTATAACAATTTAGCAAATTTGACTTTTTTAACCTTTGACCTACAGATGTATTATGTATTGGATCTTATAGAATGGTCAATGATTTATTCAAATTATATAGAATCGGTTTTAGAATACAAATAGACTAAATGAATTTCTGAGAAGTCTGCTTATGTTAATTACGTATTTTGTCAAATTTGTCAAAGTTTAAATCAACTCACCTAAAATCTTGTAAACTATTGCATCTTTTTTTGTCATAACTATTATAGTTCCAAAAACTAAGGAAGAAAATATAATTAGCAAATTAACCTAATTTTGCCAGTCCATGAGCTTACTCCGAGTGGTTCACACCTACTCTATATTTGAATAAGAATGAATGCATGCTTTATTATTTCAGTAAAGTTTTGGATACAAATTATGCAAAAAACAAAGTTATGAAAAATAATCCCCAAATGGGCTAGTGCTTGTGGTTGGGGATCAAGTCCATCTTATGGATTTAAAAAAATAGGATAACATTTAAAAAAGAAGGAAATGGTTATTTGTGTAACTAGTGGGCAAAGTGGCACTTTGCTGCACACGAGAGCAATGTTTACAAGGTGATTTAAAGGTATTTTCTTGTTTATTAAGATCGTAGGAATGTTTTAAAAACGTTTAAAAGAAAAGTCCAGAAAGTTCAGAAATACCGAAACAATAAACACGAAATGACAGGTTAAATCGTAGTTATAATAGTCAATCAGCTGCTCATAGTATTATTATCTTTAAGTGTTGCCAACCTATTTCCAAGCTTACACGGATTACGTGCATAATAGAACCACGCTGTTTTGTGTTGTTTCGTTGGAATCCTGATGTGCGGCAAAGTATAAACCGTACGGCAAAGTATAAACCGTACGGCAAAGTATAAATATGCAGCAATTAGCAGCTTTCTGTACTATGAACAGTACGAGGAAGCCAACTTTGTCGGGTGGCTGTAGGAAAAATATATCGTAACACAGAATTGTCACAAGAAGAAACAAATAAGTTTAAGAAGTATTTAAGAAATTAACTACAGCTGATCCACATAGTATGTTACCTACCATCTAAAAGTATATGGTTTGATGTAATCGATGGATGATTGTTTGGGGGATTACAGCATTGCTAGTTTCCATTACTATTTAGAATCGTGTTTCCACGGTATTTCGATATCTGCTACTGTACTTGATTCCATTTCCATTTTAGGCGCTGCAAGCCCTACATAACTACACTGTTAAGTAGGTTATGTGTATATTGTTGAAACATGACATTATTTTAGACACAATGCTGTGTAGTTTAACTTTGGGGTTTCACTTTTACTGCTAAAGAAGTGAGGATACAGCAGAGTTTTAGAACAAACTTTATTTTACAGTTTATTAACATTATTTCTTAATAATGCTAACCTTTAATTAAATTAATAACGAAAAATGTGCGAAAAATTAGTGGTTTTAATGTTATGTTTTAGTGTAAACAGGCAAATGAAACAGCTGATCGACAACAAAGCTACACACATAATGCAATTTCACTCCAATCTAATCTCATAAACAATTTAGTTGCATTTCTATCGTTTGTTAATTTTGGTAATTAATATTGTTCTCGAAGAATATATCGGATTGCATATTTCTAACCTCATGAAAATTCAGGTTTTACGTTTGTGATGGATGCCGGGACTATGAATACTTAAGAGAAATATATTTATGATACAAACCCGCCAAATTAAAGTACAATGAACTTTATTTTATTAACTGATTAGTGTAGGTAACATGGTGTGTAATATTGCTTGTCGTTGTTTGTATAACTTATTGTAGTTCTCTTTTAATTGTTAACATGATCCAATCATGGCCGAGTGCTGCAGACAATGATGTGGCTGTATTGGCTGCAGTTTCTTGGAATTTACTTATAAATCCTGCTTCGTTTGATTCATAAATAATAAACTACGTGGAGTAAAGATTCTTGAGTAAAGTTAATTGTGATGAACTCAATTAGTTATAATTTAGTTTGTTAATTAAAACATTACAATACTCTATTCAAACGAGATTTATTATACAATTTACTTATTACTATCCTACAAATTTAAAGAAGCACAGTTAAGTACGCCGGAAGCTTTTTAACACTTGATTTACTCAAGAATTTGACAATGCGATGATTTTTTTGTGTGGTACCTGCAGTGGTTAAATTTGAGAATTGGAAATCAATTTTTCTAAGAACCTAAAGTCAACATTATTTTCAGAAAGTATTTTTTAAGTTAATTTAAACTCAAATTGGGTGATTTGGCTTAGTTTTAAAGTATATTCTCAAAAGGATTTCAAATCATTATGAAACAATGTTGCCTTATTTTCTAAATTATTGAGAAAGTGTTTTTATGATAACAAACAAAAATATGCTTGCAAAGAGAAACATTGTTATGCAACATTGCTCATGCAATGCAAGTGTATGCAACATAAACAATCGTATTGATATTGAAAATATACAGTAGTGTGTGTTCTGCATATTTTTTATTGTGTTTTTGCTGATCGTTTAACCTACTAACGCTTTGTGTGTTTCCTACCTTACACATTGTTAGAGTATGTAATACCATTGTTGTTATTAATAGTCAAAGGTTGGTTAATCCTCATATAAGGCTCATTAAAGGCATTTAATATCTCGTGCGGTATGGATCTTTAGTATATACATATTAATAAGTAACTATTCACTAGTAACAAATCGAGGAAATTATCAAATAAAACTTTTCCTCAAGATTACTTATTATTTGTGTTTTAGCTATCACTAACTATACGAGGTGGTGGTAAAGAAATTAACCTAAATATGCCTAGATAGAAATTGGAAATGCATATTTCATCGTGCCCAAATAATTATTAGTGTGTTTATTAGAGAAGGGACGTTATCATTTTACTTATTACCAGTTTGCAATAACATCAAAGGATTTAGACACATGACTTGTTTACTCTTTAACACCTGTTGATTTTTAACTTCTTAACGCACGATATTTTTTGTTACTGCAGTTTAACAAATATCCTATACTCTAATATATACTTAATTAGTATAGCAGTAAGTAAATTAGTATTCTCTGTCATATTGAGTTGACTGAAAACTTTGAACTTTACTTTAAACTTATTAGTTATATAAATTTTATTATAAATTTAACCAAACGTTATTTAGTTATTTTCTGTTCATTTTCAAAATTCTTGATAAACAAAGATTTTGCGGGTGGCATACTTGGTTATTAGGGACTAAACACTTTATATTATAGTATAGTTGAAAAATACATATTGATAAGTATAGTAATGCAATACGTGTATTGTAATATAAAGAATGTCAGCTATTTCATTGTTAGAACAATAATATTTATCAGCTGATTTGATAGTTAAAAAGAAATGGTCAAGTAACAGCTGATTAGCATGCCCAAGTCCACATGATGAAACATTTAAAATGTCTTATAGTTTGTTATAATAATTAAAACATTGGGTGACAAAAGTGTCATAACTTTATTTATTGTAGTTATTTTTCTAGTAGTAACTGTGGTTATTTTTTTGTTGTGGTGATTAAGGTGTTATTAGATTTATTTTTAAGATATAAAAGGTTGTATTTTTCCTTTTCGTTTGTTGATAACATTCTTCGTTTTCAAGATGTATTTGAGAAAAAATTAATTAAAAATACAAAGAAGAAATACAAAAGTGTTTTTTAAGTTGAAGTGTTAAGAAGCCATAAGGAAAATTGTTAAAGCCACATACGAACAGATAGACAGAAAACTAGGCATGTGAGACCCATGGTTACATTGCAAAATCTGTTTGTCTCTATGCAAGGAACAATCCGACAAAGCAACTTACCAAATAAAATAACAATGCCAATGTGTTATATTCTTAGGGGGGTCTTAGGACACCCTGTATATTTTACATAAGTTTGAAAATCAGGCCTATATAGTGCTATTGGATCGTACACTTTTTCTGAATTATAATATTTCAGTTTGTTATCAATTCACGAGATTCAGAAAGTTTCTTTTTGTGCAATTCTATTGGGCTATACATCACAGTATATTCAATCTAACATTTGCCTGTCTCGGACGGCATTTCTTCCATCTTCCAAAACTAGAATACTTCAAAATATGACTACAGTAGGTTAATTAAGAACTGTTCATGCTATTTCGAACGTTTTTCACGATATATTTTCAATGGATCATCATATTTTCTACAAATTAAACACATCAATAATGTAATAGAACTCGGAAGCATTTGGGGTATTGTACTTTATTCCTTACATTCAGTCCAACGCTACTTTACTAATAGTTTACCTAGAATAATGAAGTAAGATGAACAACATTATTTAGGGATTATTTCCCATCAGATTTCTCTCATACTAACCAATGCACCAGTGACAAGTCCAGCAACCATATTCACTCCTTTGACGTCATGTTGTCGTGTAACACTCTAAAAAACAATTTAATATGTTTCTAGGTATAAGCTATAAGGTGTACAGGTCCAGCTAAGGAAGGGAGCTATGCTTTTTCATGTTAACCAAATCAGATGCCCCTTGGATCTTTACAGTAAAGCTATTGCAGCTTCACATAACTTACCCTTCTTCCCTCGACTCCCACACCACATTTCCCTGATGGGTCTCGCTCGACTGGTTCCCAATGATGGACAGAAAGCCTAAAAGCGTGGCTGGCCAGATTAAGATGGCCAGATTGTCGTAATGAAGTGTTTGCCGAGGCAGGGCTCTGCTGCTCCGCACCGTGCCGATTTATAGAGTATTAAGTTTGCGCGATAAGAGATGGGCCCAATTTGTGCCAGCCATCGTCCATCCCTTTATAGCCTATAAACAGGTTCATAATGCGTCCATTTGGCTATAAATCGCCCCGATATTCCTGTATCTTCGCATTACAGCTATGCCTTTTAGGCTGACATTGTGCATGAATAATAATAGCTAATACGGTCGGCTTTATGTGCTACTAAATTTATCTGATGGCCGGACGAACATCGATAAGTTTTAGGATTCCTGCATTCATTTCCAAAAATTAGGCAAAAACTTGTAACCTGGTCGAAGGCGTTGTCTGATTGGTGATTGGAGTTTGGCTAATCAACAATGGGTCGGGATACATGTTAACTGGATTATATATAGGTAATTAATCAATTTGTTGTCGAGTACCGCCATGGTGACACGTTACACCTATCAGCAATTTTAATAATTGATGAATATTACTGTTCAAGTAGACTAAATCGTTTAGTAAAATCTGAACTCATTTTTACGTTTGTTTCCTGTTTGATAACGCTTGAGTGCATTTAATGTAGATTACACTTGTATTAAAAATGTAGGGCATGTCTTATGTTTGCACCGCAGTATGGAGAATTTTGTTATTTTAACAAATAGAAGATATCGACGAGTCAAACTTTAACCGGACAACATATATTAAAGATTGTATTCAGAAAGATCTTTAAGAAAGACAAATACAGGAATAAGATGAAGTAGGGGATTCATCTGTTTGAAATGTGATGTTATGACACGCTAAAACTATCTACAAAAGATTCCTATTTTATCTTCTTGTCTACAATCCCGAGACGATGGTGGTGAGATGTGTAGATGTAAACAAGTCAAAATATCTCTCACAACACACCATACATAGATTTTCATAATTTTTGTGTCAGTTGCATAAATTGAATTTAATTTTGAAAGTAAATGCAGCAAAAATATTCATCTAAATAAGTTTGTAAATATTCCAAATTGGCTGGGCTTTTTAAAAAGTACTATAATTTCATTGACTTAATATAACGAATTTTCTCGTTTTGTAAATTAATTTTGGCCCTATCACAAACTTTATTAAACGTTTAATTGTGTTAAAACATTTTCTGATAGCTACTCCTTCTCTACGATAAGTATCTCAGTCCAGACAATACCCTGTTTAAAATTTTATAATAAACTACCTTTTTTTCATTTGAGATGTACATGTTCTTTGTCCTAAGATGTAGTCTCTAACCTGGGATTGTCTTTCACATTACTGCAGGCTAGACCTAGGGGTACGGTATTATCACCTAGATAAAAATTATTTGGCGTGATTTAAACCAGGGACTTCAGTGACCGAAGACTTGCGCTATACCATTAGACCAGCTCACCCCTCATCATTTGAGATACTAGGAACACAAGATTATTACTCAAAATTATATAATAGTAGCAACTGGCTTATCCATTTATTACGTATTATCAGAGAGATTACCTAAAAAATGTTTTACCATGTAAAAAAATTTTTAAAAATAAAGTAAATCTTACTTTCCTACAGTTACCTCACGAAGTGGACTTCCATGCACTGATAGCACACAAAGCAGCTAATTGCTGCATTTACTTACTTACTCTTGCCGCACTCATTTTTTGCCGCACTCCAGTATTCCAACCAAACAACATAAAACATTGTAGGCCTACTTTTATTAGACAAGTAATACGTGTATACTTGAAAATAGGTTGACAACACTTAGATACTACGACTACGATCAGCTGGTGCAGCGTTTTCCATTTCGGCCAACGCTTGAAATTAACCTAACTTAAAAACGTGTGTTATAGTGTTTGAAAGACTAATTATATATATGCTATATAGTAACTGTAGGAAAAATATAATGTGTAACGCGAGCGCAAACTGCCTTTGCTGCACTCGAGAAACTTTCCACACTCATGTGCAAAGTGCCACTTCGCACACTAGTTACAAATAACTATTCTACATCACGACATTGTTACTATCTCTCATTAAGTCTCACCATGGAACTCTCAACACGAAACCGGGATGAAATAATCAATACCACGGTTAACAGTTTACTTAGCAAATGTAAAAACAGTAAAAGTGGAACAGTTTAGGACCATGGAGCATGACAGCATGAGGAATGTATGAAGTGGGCCAGTGGGGTCTAACGGTCGTGGAGCGAGGCGACAGAATCGATTATCCTCTGGAAGGTGGCGGGGTGTAGACCTAGGAAGGGACGACCACGGAGACTGCGCGAGGACCTGAGTAGGAAGTCGCTCTCGGACACTTCGGAGTTCTCCACCTCCTTGAGGAACGTGTACTTGGCGTAGTAGATGGCGGCGAACGTGGAGTACAGGAGGATGGCGACTGTCACCAGCTGGAAACGTCGGTAAAGTGATTATAATGGAAATCAGCTGATTTGATTGTTGGGTTGTTAATTGACTGTGATCAAAGAAACAGCTGATGTTAGTCAGTTAAAAGGCTACACAATGTTTGACTATTCGTAGATGTAGGCATTGCATTCGAATGTTTACAGAAGCCAGATTTAGAATCAAATATTGAAGTTGAATTGAGCCTCTAATGTAAGTTACTGTTTTCTGAAAATGTATCGACTTTTTAACCAAGCCAAACTGACAAAATACTACAAATCTTTTTGTCGAAGGAGATGTAAAAATTGTATAAAATACTTGTTCATATTGTATGTTAATACCGTATATCAAACACTTGAAGTCGGGGATGTACAACAACGTTACTGCTGATTTCCAATATTCCCAAACACTCTTAAGGGCTACCTTGTTGTAAACCATAGCATCTTTAACCTTTCGTAAACTGGCATAGTACAAAAATTAAGAGTCAAGGGATTTTTTACTGTGGCACACTCTGCCGTTGCTTTAAATGTGGCTTATTCAACCACGTTTAAAAAAATGGTTACAGATTGTTCATATAGATAGGATGTCGTATTTAGTATTCAAAGTCAGTGATCCTGTTTAGATAAACAACTAATCTTAGTCAGTAACAAAGCTAAACTATTCCTCTCTCTGATTTCAACATCCAGCACTCTTCCATTTTGGGTTAAAATGTGACTTTATAGCGTCCTTATAGTGATTAGTTATTTTGGAAGTTTACGTAAACTTCGGATGAATATGTCTATAATGACTTAAAATTATGGCAGGATATTATAAGCGTAGTCAATAAAACAAAATCATAGTTTTGGTTGATAAATATGAGCGTTGTAAACAGGTTACACCACAGACAACAAATCATGATCCCAGTTACGAGTGTGAAAAGTTAAAAGAGACCGCTGTACAAATTTAACGAGGTGACAAAACTCGAAGCGGTTAAAATCGAATTATTATAGAGCTTGACATGTAAATATCATGCCTTGTTATATACTTATGCTGTAATTAATATAACCGTAAATCAAAATGTCGTGCATTAATTCTTTTCTTGAAAACTATCCTTTTAGAGGCGAGTGTCGGCGTCTGCGAAGCCGCGAACGCAGAAACACCATCACCGTAAATCAAGCTACGTCCGCAGCAGAATGCACTTGTAGCGATGCACTTTGTCTTTTACGACAACTTCAAAGTGTGAATTACAACGCCATAGGATGTCTGAGTCTGAGACGACTGTGAGTCTCAAGTGCAAACTGAACAAGAGTGGGAGTCGTGGGAATAATATTAAAACATTTACAATTTCGCATTTTGAGTTTGTAAGCTAAATAAATTTAATCGATTTTTTTCCTCTTCAATATACGTCGTTGGGATGATAATAAAGCAATTAAATTCAAGTGTATTTGATCTATTAAGGACGTATCAAAATTACATTAAACTGGCTGGCTTTGCGTGGTATGGTTTGAACTATTATATTTACCAACGCTGTGTCTAGAAATGGTGAAGTACATACTTATAGATACAAGTCATTTGTGTTACAGTAAGTTTGAGACTCAAATAAAGATGAAGTTCTCCTTGCCATTACTGATAATGTCTTGCTATTGTAATATTTTATTTTTTTAACGTAGATGCCGTACTTAGAATGAGATCCGAGCTATCTTGTCACGACTTGATCCATAAGTGATTAAGTGGATTTGAAAACAGAATTCCCGCTCTAACCTTTAGGCACCCGCGTACCAGACTGACCAACTTCTACAAGTGAAATGCTCAGGTGATATATTTAGAAGTTTTTCAAGACGTATCTTATGGATGGATGTATCTATGGAGCAACATGCTCTATTGCTCTGTTATGCTAGTTTAACTGAAACTGGCTGGGTAGATGAGCGGTTATATAATTATCGCTAGCCTAACAATCGATAGGTTGCCGGATCGATCCTGAGATAAGTCAGTAGCATTTTAATGGTTCAAAACTGGACCCAACTATCCCTGATCATTGGGCTTTAATATCAGGAAACAGCTGAATCTTAGTCACAAATATACACAGATCATCTCACTCCATTCTACACTAATCTTCACTCATATTTGGGTTAAAATACGAACCTAGGTGGCGTCCCCATCTCAATTGATAATGTTAATAAAGATAGTTACCTGGAACACCGCCCAGAACTTGTAACTGCCCTCATTGATGAGGAAGTCGTAGTATGAGTTGGTGACTACGCCTAGACGAGGCTCCCCCGCACTGCTGCTGTAGACACAAACAGATAAACATACAATCAAGCTTTCATTTGCTCGTTTCTATGCCAGTGGCAATTTCAATTGAGTCATTCAAACATTTTCAAGGGAAACTGGAAAAAACCCCATCCAAAGTTTTGTGGATGACCCAGGAATCGAACCCATCACTGCCGCATTGAAGTCCGCGAGACGCTAACTACTAGGCAGCAACACACCCAAAAATAGATGGGATGCTGTAACCCCTGTTAACTAGGGATTTGTTTTGATAGGTCTTGCTGTTTATTTAATGTGCAGTTTAGTTTTTGTTTTGCCACAAAGAAGAGCTAAAAAAAACTGGTAGGGCTAAAATCGTGCAGAGTAGTTGTACGTGAGTTTGTGGAACTAACTTGAAGCTATCAATATGAATAGAAGTAAACATCCATTTTTCATATGAAAGATGTAGTTTAAGTACTAATGTAGTTTAAATTGAGCTTCCGACACAGCTAGCACAGGAACTACTGATTTCTGCCGTATCACAGTGTCTGTGGTCGTATGCAATAGGGGCCTACAACGTAGGCTTAGGCTATATACAACCACGTCAAACCACAGACTATAGAACCAGTTGTCAGGCTGAAGAGGACGAAGTCCTAAAACAGCCTCAGTCCAGTAGGATTTCAGCTTACTGGATTGAAACGTTACGAAGAAGAAGAAGAAGACCACCTATTTTAGACTATAGCAATTCTAGTTTTCTGGCAGTACGTACAGTGTTTGTGGCATATCAACTGTAAGAGTATCAAAAATTTAAAAAACAACAAGTTTGCCAGGAGCACATCTGCCAGAGGGGCATAAAACTGTTTCCTAATTTTAAAATCAATAAATGGAATGTCCATACCATACTTATCCATCCAAATTTGCTAGAAGGCAATCTAAAAAATGGCTATTGGACAATGATAGTTACTGGTTGGGGCCATTGACTTTTGGAAACTATGGTAGACATTCCATTGACAAGTCTAGATGTAGCTAACTTTTAAATCAAATAGAACATGAACTTCCTTTCCTGTCTAAGTTTTGTAAACTTTATTCACTAAACAAACATAAAAAGATGCTACTACAGTTAACAGTTCTCCCCCTTGGGTTCACACGGCTTTAAAAGCTGTTTTATTTAACTGAAACCAGTTACTTACGTCAGCCAAGGCAATTTGTAAATTGCTTGATTCATTAAAAATTTTATTTTCTTTTAATGAAAAACCGGTTACGATTTTAATATGGAAATGGCACATGAACTACACTTCTTAGCCAAAGATAGTGCGATAGACATTTCATCTGAATCGACCATCCAATTTGGAATCAATCTGTAACATAAAACATAGTATACTCATAAACAAATCTCTTTTATCTTAACTTTCGATACAATCAATGATAGTCGATGTAAAATAAAAGATACTGGGTTTTACTTTTACTCCCCCTAGTCAAATTTATAACCGACCATGTGTAACAAGAAACTAAACCCACAATATAACGTACTACACACTTTTCTCAGGTCTTCGGTTCGATCCTGAGAAAAATGTGTTGCTTTTTGACGGTCTTAAACTGGACCCAGCTCATTCATTGGGCTTTTAATAAATGGTCTTGACTCTTGAATAATGAAACAGTTGGTCTTAATCAGTAACAAAGCTACAAAAGGCATCACAGTTCATTCTAAACTCATATTCGAATTAAAATACGCACCACGCACCTAGATGGCATCCCGATCTCAAGTGATATTGATATGAAGTTACCTGTTTTGTAGCCTATCCAGTGTGCCGTTATGTGTGGGGTGTAATCTCTGTGAGTGTATTTGGGCCACCACACACCCGCAGAAAACTGTCAACACGACGCCGTACTGCATCTTCGCAACATCAACCTTTGCAACACACTAGATGTCGCACCGCGGTGGTAAAACAATTAACATCTGGTAAACCAGAGCTACCGCTAACTCCACACTTCCTATGTAGTTCAATACACTCTGCGATGTTTGCTCAATATACAATGTCATATGGTAATGAGGAATGAGGAAAATTCATGCTTAAATTTGGGGATGGCAGATTTTGTTTGATTTTCTCTCGTATTTGAAAGCAATATTGGAAATTTGTGTGGAACATTAACAAGGAAGTGCACTTTCATTATACTGAACAAAAAAGGTTAAAGGACGTTGTCGAGTTAAAGTAGTTCTATTTATCGCTAGCGTGAAAAAGAATCAGCTGTAGTTGAGGATATCAGCTGTAGTTGAGGATATCAGCTGTAGTTGAGGATATCAGCTGTAGTTGAGGATATCAGCTGTAGTTGAGGATATCAGCTGTAGTTGAGGATATCAGCTGTAGTTGAGGATATCAGCTGTAGTTGAGGATATCAGCTGTAGTTTACGATATCAGCTGTAGTTGAGGATATCAGCTGTAGTTTACGATATCAGCTGTAGTTGAGGATATCAGCTGTAGTTGAGGATATCAGCTGTAGTTGAGGATATCAGCTGTAGTTGAGGATATCAGCTGTAGTTGAGGATATCAGCTGTAGTTGAGGATATCAGCTGTAGTTGAGGATATCAGCTGTAGTTTTTTCTTGTGTAACAAATTTCTACGAAAATTATGTCCTAGTTAAGCTAGTTTTTACATCTCACCATGCATTTTTATTAACATATTGCATCGTATATGATACACCATATAAATACCCTGTTATCAATATTTATTTATCCAGCAACATGAGACAGCTAGGACAGTGATGTAAAACTATATTTATGAATATATTCACATCGCGCTAATATGCACGAGAACTACGATCGAATAGTTTAAAACACCTACATAGATTATGAACGAATTATTGTTATTAAATCCGGTATAATTTTAATTCGTTTTGTTTATGCAAAAAAGCAACGTTTGAACTATACAAATACGTGAGAATCCACCCTTTATTTTCAGTCACCCTCATTATCGAGTCAGGTGAAATGTGTCTTCGTGCATGTCTAATCGTCCGCTCTGTCCAATAATTGCTCATTGTTTCGTCCATCTAGTTTTTGCCGATTATCTTAGCCACCATTCGCAGTACTTCTTTATCTAACAAATTGAAATCGCCTGGTACTTGTCTGAAATGGAAAGTTGAACAATCTTTTGGAATTTATACCATCCTGTATAACCACAACAATAGCCAATCACAATAACATGATTGCTCTTGGAGACTCCTTATCTTGTAAAGGAGAAATAACTAACAACTAAGAGTAATGTTGAATAACACGTTTAAGCAGCCAAACTAAGTACATCTAAGATCAAAGTTGTATCATAGATAAACCATACTCCCTGAGGTTACTTCTGTTGGTTAGTCTATGGTTATATTTATCTTCAGTATTACTTCGCTAGAGCCCACCCCGTTGATCGAGGAGAATCATACACACTCTTTCATTGATAATGTACACAAAAATACATCTTAAACAAACTACACATGTCAATTCGAGTTATCTAGCAATTTCACCAGAGACAACTCACCTTTATAATGGTTATTATAATGGTTTCTATGTGCCTAAAAAAAATTGCAATCTATAGATAATATAAATTTTGCCATGGTATGTTTGATTTGCATAACACAAAATGTTCTACAAAACAACCAATTGGTTTAGTGAGTAGTCAAATGTTTTACATGTCCGTAGACAGCTCTCAAATGGTTTTCCCTTCAATTACCCCAATTACCTGACAAAGTGGGTTTTCTTGCACTGGTTATAGCACGCAAGGTATCTGGTCCTGCAATTACTTACCTTGTCACACTCATTTTACTTTGACACACACCAGTATTTCAACCAAACAACACAAACAAAGTCTAATTGTATTATGCACATAATACATGTATGCTTGAAAATAAGTTGGCAACACCTAAAGATACTACGAAAACGATCAGCTGTTTATTCGTCAGTTTATTCGTCATTCCATTTGACCATCACTGTTACAACGACTTAGCTTAACGTATTATAAACCTCTTGATGCGTGCAATGTATATTGTTGTATGTATGTTGTTCAACGCCTGTATTTAACAGCTGACTATCCATACAACTTCAGTATCCATATTCAGTTAAGAAAGATTGTTGCTATTAACGAACACAGTGAAAGTGATTACAAACATGTATTGTTGCGTGTTAACATAAACATTTCTTTGTTAGATAATTTCATTTAGGTTTTGATTTTTACAGTATACATACAATTGCCCATGCTCATTATACGCTTAAGAGTAACTGTAGGAAAATGTATAATGTATAACACGAGCGCAAAGTCTCTTTGCTCACTAGTTACACAAATAAGTATTCTTTATCAACTACTACAGTAAAAATCGAACTCAATATACAGGGTGATTGATATAAGTGTGCCAGCCGTTTTATTCAAAAACTATAATAGATACCAAAAATAGTTAAACGGTAAGTGCCTTGGATTTTTTATTAAAAAAATTGTAGGCAAGTCGAAAAAAATATTTTAGCCGCCATATTTCCAATATGGCTGCCAACTTTAATTTTTCTTATAGAACACCCTATATTTTATGATGTATTCCGGTAGGAAATGTAATTTTAGGACGATTTTCTTCTTGTGATTTTTTTCATAAACCTAACCGTTTCAAAGATAATAATGGTTTAAGTTTTAAAACTTCTACACGAGAAAGAGTTTCGATAAAGGCCTAAGCAAGCATGCCAGCTGTTTTATTCGAAAACTACTCGAAATTTCACAACTTCAACCATTATTATCTTTGAAACGGTTAGGTTTATGAAAAAAATCCCAAGAATAAAATCGTCTTGAAATTGCATTTTCTACCGGAATACATCATAAAATACAGGGTGTTCCATAAGAAAAATCCAAGTTGGCGGCCATATTGAAAGAATGGCGGCTAAAATAATTTTTTCGACTTGACTACAATTTTTTAAATAAAAAATCCAAGGCATTTACCATTTAACTTTTTTTTATATCTCTTATGGTTTTCGAAAAAACGGCTGGCACACTTATATCAATCACCCTGTATTTGACGAATCATCTCAAATTCTATGATCAGATTAGGAACAAAATCTGTCAATTTAGGTAACTACATAATTAATTATTTACAGCCTCCTCATCTGTCCTCTAAATCAAACAGTAACGTATTTTGTGAACGTATTGCTGAATATGAATGTAGAGAGAGAGTGTGTAGAATGAAGTGAGAAGACATAGGTAGTTTTACTGATCAATATCTGTGTTTAAGGACAGATCCTCACCTGATTCCCACAATTTGTGAAGTGTGTAGTGGATTTTGACTTTGTGGGCCACAACAGATTCAACAGATTTGTACCTAACATTAGGAGCAGAAGCGTATTTCGACACCCGAATATACACTTATCGAGACCCACGTGTGTGACGTGACCGTGGCCAAATGATGATGACGTACGTGATTCCTACGTAACGAGATCTGGACCCGTCACACTCCACTGGTCCTCCGTCATCCATGGTCCGTCCATGTCCTCCATGATCCGCGTCCTCTTCCGATACATTGCACGTGATAGGAAGTGCTAACAGCTCGGAAATCGTTCAGAGAATTGGGTCGCGGTTTTTGTTGTAGCTTCGTTGGGTTATCCGGAAAATGGTTGATAACTGTTTATGATGGAAAATGTTGGATTCGTCTTTAAAAAATGTCAGTCACTTGTTGCGATAAATGTGTAGCCTACTACCATAGATGAAGTCTACTACCTATATCCAAAACACGAGTTTAGCATAAAATCCATAATTTTCATTACTAGGAGCGAAAGTGGCTCATTTTTGTACGCAATTGGATTAACGAAGTACCAAAAAGACAATTTCGCTCCGGGTAATGACCAACTATTTTCATCATACTGTAACCTTCTAATCGTTACAATATTAGACCACATAATTTGAGGTTATACAGGGTTAGTAAAAAGTGTGGAGACCCCCTGTTATTTTTTTAACGGCCCATACTAGAAAAACTAAACTCGGCACACCTTTATGGCATGTTATGAAGTACTTTTTGGGCATAACCGTCACTTGGTGTACATCCCCAAAATGGGGGATTTTGGGGGAAACTAAAAAATTTCAAAAACAAAGACCTATTAAGTAACCCCTCATTTTGAAGGTCCTGGTAAAAGAAAACCAAAAACGCCAAGTAGAGGTCTTTATGTCAATCTAGTAAAAAATGGCAGCCAATTGAAATTCTCAGAAGTTTAATTTAACTTGCAGATTTCCAAGTCTGGAGACCCCCTGTAAATTTTGTAGCGGCTCACACTAGGAAAACTAAACTCTACACACCTTTTTGGCATGTTATGAAGTACTTTTTAAGCCTAATACCCACTTGCTTACTAAACCCAAAATGGGGGATTTTGGGGGAAACTCAAAAGTTTTAAATGATAAGCCCCATCAAGTGACCCCTCATTTTGAAGGTCGTGGTAAAAGAAAACTAACAACGCAAACTAGAGGTTTCTATCTCAATCCAGTAAAAAATGGAAGCTGATTGAAATCTTTAGAAATCGGAAATAACTTGCAATTTTATATTCAATTGGCTTCCTCCATATTTTACTGTGTTAAGATAGAGACCTATAGTTTGCGTTGTTAGTTTTATTTTATTATGACCTTCAAAATGAGGGGTCACTCGATGGGGCTTATCATTTAAAATTTTTGAGTTTCCCCCAAAATCCCCCATTTTGGGTTTGGGAACTTATGAGAATTTCAATTGGCTCCCATTTTGTACTGAACTGAGATAGAGACCTCTAGTTTGCGTTGTTGGTTCTCTTTTACCAGGACCTTCAAAATGAGAATCACTCGATGGGTCTTTGTATTTGAAATTTTTTAGTGCCAACACCAA